TCACTTTTGCCTCAGACCGACTTATTGCTGTTTTATGGTGTGGCTGAATCTGCGATCCGCTGCCACGCTGACCGGAATAACAAATGCTGCAGTAACATGAGTTGTGGTCAGGTTCAGGAGGAGTCACTGGCTGGAGCGGACTCGACTTTAATACGTCATCCCAAAATAGAAGCTAATATCTCAATATGACCTGGAATGAAAAATGTTGTTAAAACCTCTTAAAAGTTTTTATCACAGAGGAGGCAGCGCTCATTTCTGCCTTCAGTCTGACGGCACAGCGCAGCGTGCACTTGTTGAATCAGACACACACACACACACACACACACACACACACACACACACACACACACACACACACACACACACACACACACACACACACACACACACACACACACCTCTCAGATGGAGAAAAGGGAGTTGGAGTGAATCAGTCCGTCCCTGACGCTCACCCACCACACTTTATAACCCTTCAGCTAGCGGTTAGCATTGCACTCACTGGTCTATCCGTCGGACGGTTTAACGTTGGAATGGTGCAGGTTTGAAGAAGTAATCTGACCGAAAACCCACTCCAGTACTGGCGGTGGTTTGACAAGCAGTCTGTGAAATCACGTTCACATTCAGGCTCTGTGTTTGAGAGCTCCTGAAGATAAAATCCAAACATTTCTGGTGATTCTTCAGGAAGAACGGACAGAGATCCTGTTCCTCTTACAGACATAAATCCATATTTGGGTTCTAGGCTTTATATAAAGTCCAGACTAGATAAAGAAATCACTTCTTCACATCTGGAGATTAAAACTCCCTGCTAGCTACATGGAAATACAGGAGACATCCAGAATCACAAGACTACTTGGATGGGGAGGAGCGGGCCGTTGTGACTCAGCAGCAACCAAATCCAGCTGCATACAGCTTCGCAAAAATGTGCAGACCTGAAGGAAAGAAGCAGCTGAGATAGGTAAATGGATGAGTAGCCATGCATCCACTGTCGGAACTTCCCAGAGGTAGGCACTCGGAAAGGCCTGGTTGGGTAGGTCAGTGTAACTTTTGGTTAACCCACACTGACTGGTGCTGCTAACACAGCAGGAAATGACATCAGCAGACACAGATTCAAAATTAGAGAATTTACTTGTGAAGCAGAATGGAAAAAAAAAGAATAATCACAGATCACGCTGCTTTAAAACTGCTGTTACTAAACTCCCAACATCAAAAAGCTTGGTGGAATTTCCCCACAACAACGTAATTCATGTGGCTTTGTTGTCTCACAGAGAGCCGTAAAAAACAGATCTTCTGGTCACCAAACCTCACATTTTACATCACGCAGTCCTCCAAATGGATTAAAACATACCATACTGTGACAGAATAAAACTTTTAATCTTAATAATGTCGTTGTGGGTGCTGATAGGCACTGAAGCAGTCGCTAAAGGCCTACATCTGTGCAAAGTCCTGAAAGAGCTGAATTTGTATGGAGACGCAATGGCTGAGAGGACCGGGCCATCGAATCTCCCCGGTGAGAAATTACCCTGAAGTTCCGACAATGGAAACACACCTAATGACGTCACGACTTTGAGGGCGGTTTTCACGAGGAAATAACGATACGCATGTTCAAAAGCTCAAAAAGTGAATTTAGCATGATATAGGACCTTCACATTATGTTATACTTGTTTTATATAAAAGTTTGTTTTGAAACTTAAAACCAAGAAAAAAATCTGTAAGGGAGCAAATAGTTAGAGTGCATGTTCAAGACTAAATATTTATGTGAACCATCTGAATGTAATCCGCACACACCCACTGTGGGCGCTTGTTTGTGAATCTTAAAATGTAAAGATTCGGTCTGAATAAAACAAGAAAGATTCCTCATTCAAAGAGGGGGCCAAGACCTCATCCCTGAGGGACTCCACTTCTAGCTTTGAGCATTTCATCTAATAAATTATAATCAGTTAGAAACTTTGAGTATGAACTGATCTGGTTTAGAAAGTCTGTCGTTAAAACTCTGATCATTACTCCAGATGTAAGTTTTACCGCTGAGTCACGACACTGACTCATGTTTTTTGCAGCTTGCTGAGGTTCCTTCTTTGATGTCTCCGCCTGCTAAAGTAGCTTTTCATGGCTCCAAGGCCATCGTGCAATATTAATGCTGCTGCATAGAGGCTGAGTGCTCCGCAGCTCCCTTCCTCCTCTCCCGTCCGCTCTTCGTGCTTTAATGTTCTGAGCTAGTCGACTCTCTCTCTCTATTGTGAGTTTCTCAGCAAGAAGCTACAAAGAGGTGATCGTCAAAACCTTCAAAACCAAAGAGACACTTGAGATCGTAGCAGTGAAAGGGGGTGGTTTTGTAGTGTAATTGGACATTTGGGGGTGGTTTGATTCAGAGGGGGTGGAAGCATCTGTGATGGCCTGATGTATGTGCGTGGGAGGGTCAGGGTCGAGACGGGGCTCGTCCGAATGTCCCGCACAGACCGGGGCTGAAAGCTGCGAGGATCGGTCACGGTAACAAGATTAATTTATAAAATTACATAAAAAGGACACAAGGAAGCACTGATGCAACAGTTTCAACAGCAAAACAAGCCATAAATTTGATCTATTCCTTAAAGTTTGATAACTTTAAAGTTAACTAGAGTGAAAACTATTTAACAAGATGGAAGCTACATAAAAGTGGCGTTAAGGTGAATCAAACAATGTGCCGTCTGAATCCTGACAGTCAAAACTCATGGAATGAGTTGTATCGAGGTTTTTGGAGCTTCTTTAAAGGTTTCGACAGAAATTGGGGATTATTCACCTGCTGCTGGTTCCCTTTGAAACAAAAAGTGGAAAAAAAATGCTTGAAACATGAAACGGATCATTTCTGTGTCTCTTTCAGGACGACTTCCTGTTCAGCGTGTCCATTGTCAGCGGCTTGGTGTGCGCCATCTTGGCTGTGATCAAATTCATGCTCGGCAAAGTGCTCACCAGCCGAGCTCTGATCACCGATGGTAGTTGAATTATTCGTTGAAACAGTACAGATGCAGACCAGCTCAGCAGGAGATGCTTCAAACGAAACACGGCCATCTTTGTTTTGTTTTTCCTTCTCCAGGATTCAACTCGCTGGTCGGGGCGATCATGGGGTTCTCCATTCTGATCAGTGCTGAAGTGTTCAAACACGAGCCCAAAGTGTGGTACCTGGACGGGACAATAGGTGTCTTCATGGGTCTCATCATCCTAGCCTACGGAGTCAAGTAAGTGACATAAGTGGTTAAAAGATAATAAACGGATAAACAGGGATGGAATGGCTACTGGTTTTAATGGTTACCACCTTAAAACAAGTCAGTATTTTACTTTAAAATGAATTTACTGTTTTAACGAGTCCAACTGCTGTCTGTTATCCTGAAATTGTCAATATGACTCAAACTGAGACATTACTTCCTTGTAAAACCTTTCACAATAAGAGCTCCAAGCAAATAAATGTTTAATAAATAAAAATATTCTTTATTTTTTTATCATAATTTTAATTGTAAAACTGATGCTACATTAAAAACTAAAAATGTAAAATGTATGGAGGCAGAGAATGGACAAATTTGCAACATTTTTTTTGTTTTTAGTTTAGTTAAGGTTTTAGGTTTTAGGTTATCCAGGGCAACCAGAGGCATGACAGCTCCACTAGTTAATCATGGGTTGGGAGTTCCTGACTTACAAGGCCCGGGTCACAAGCCAGGACTTTTTTTTTTCAAAACGTGAAAATGTTATGTTTGGAGTGGTCCCGATGTCCTTCCAAGCAGACCAGAGAACTCCTAACACACCACACACGGCAGGATAACCTAATGAGATTGTCTTCAGAGCCATTACAGTAATCTGTGCATGCTTAACCTCGTTGTAAGGAGAGAATCAGGACAACGATCGACACGATTATCTTGCCGTATAAAGCAGGCTTTAGTTGTTTCATCGATAGTTATAACGACCCAAACATGTCACATAATGGAAGGCTGGGTCAAAGACTCGTGTGTTAGCGATCGCTCCACGACTCGTAAGTCTGGAACCCCCAACCTAGGATTAGATCTGAAGAATCAAGGAAACTAAAGACCCTCCTGGTCCACTGAGCCGTAGCCTGGTCAGACACCTAGTACATCAGCACCCACCCAGAAACAAACACCTTGTGTCTCCGTCTGCTCCAGGCTGCTGCTGGACATGGTCCCTCGGGTCCGGCAAACCAGGAACTACGAGCGCTTTGAGTGATGGATCACAGAGGATGAGGAGTGACTGACAGGGCAGGTCCTGTAGAGACACGTCTCCTCACAGACAATCACGTTGGGTCCTTAAGGTGTCGGTGAAGACTGAACCGAGGATCCGACCGGCGGGACCTCCCAACGTGTTTCCCGTTTTGTGTATATACGTCCATGTGTCTCGGTGAGCGGACCGCTTGCTTCTCCATCCTATTAACCCAGTAGACGAGGACGAGCGTGGACCGCTGCCTTTGGAGACCTTCAGAGTTGCAGCTTTGTGTTGTGTAAGTGACGTAGGGCTCCAGCTGATCCAGGAGGACGTCGCTCTGCCGTGCTGTAAAATGTAGCTGAAGTAGCGCCAGAATATCGCTGCTCTCTAACTTTTATTACAGATTTATGAAGCCAAGGCCCATTTGGCTAAAAGAGCAGGTCCATGAGCACACGGTGAAGAGGCACAATATTTAAACGGACACCCCTTCAGCTACCTGGCCTTTAGTTCCACCCGAATGTTTTACGACCTGACTAGAAAACTAACGAGCGGAAACCCATTTTAGCTCGTTTTCCCCCAAAATTCAGTAGTTTTTCAGAATTCTCATAATCTTAAGTTTTCTTTTCTGAAAATGGAAACCGATTTTATGGGACTGGACTGTACCTGTCAGCCATCTACTGGCCAAGAGGAGTACTACGTTTAATAGGCACGTATCTATGAATATTTATGTTAGAAATATTTGAGTGTGGGAGAGTGAAAAGAGACTTTAATGTCAAACTATCAAAGAAAAGTTCCCACTGTGTCGGTTTCCTTTGTAACCGTTAAGTCAGAATGGATGTTTTTACTCTTTAATGTTTTAGTGAAAAAGGCGTTTTTTTTAGCTCTCCGGCTTCAGGTTGATCCCAGCTGCAGTGGGCCGGCACCGGTGCCACGGACTGGTGGTGGTGGGGTTAAATCAGAGTAGCCCGACGGAGACTCACCTTTTCCTTTGGTACAAATCAGTGGTGTCCGGTATTCAGCATGTTTTAGTTGTGTTTCTGCTCCAGCAGGCTCATTGGGCTCTGCAGAAGTCTGTTTGTCACCTGCTGATTGAAATCAGGTGTGTTGGAGCAGGGAAACAACCAAAACGTGCCGTCTAGCGGCCCTCCAGGACCAGGACTGAGCTCTCGTTTTAGGGGTTTCTCTGCCCCAACACACCTGACCCTCAACGGTACGGGTTTCTTACACAAACACACCCTTACCCTCACAGCAAAGTTTATGTTTATTTATTTGGCAGACGCTTTTATCCAAAGCGACTCACAATGTATAACCTATAGGGCATGTTGTGGTCTGTGGGGGAAACCGGAGTACCCGGAGGAAACCCACGCATGCATGGGGAGAACACGCAACTCCACACAGAAAGGCTGCAGCCGAGTTTCGAACCTGCGACCTTCGTGCTGCGAGGCAACAGTGCTAACCACTGCGCCACCATGCAGTCAACACACAAGTGATTAGCTGCTGTTTGCGAGATCTGAAGGACAGGTCCGTTTTTTAATGTCATGTTTGGGATGGGACGCTGTAGCTGTAGCTGAAACTGTAATTAAATTTGATGTCAATCATTTACTTGATATTGTAAAAATATTGATTTGCAGGACAGTTTGACAACTTCGAAACAGGAAAATGACTTATTAGACATGGATAAAATCAATGATCATAAACGGTTACAAAAGATCTAAACAGCTGATTAAGTTACGTTACGCTTTTAGTTCAGGTCTGTTTGCTTATTCTGCTCAACCAACGGCGTGTTTCCATATCCTGAAGCTTCTGATCAGTGGGTGTCGTCATCAGGTGCAGGTTGATCAGGACTTCTCTGCTGTTATTATAACCAAATCTAGAACCATGTGAATGAGTTCATCTCTGCTCTCAACAAACAAGATGGACTTCCTGTAAGTAAACACACATATAAAGTGTGTTTGGTTTGTGCTGACTGTACATTTCTGTGTTTGCTGCTGTGATGTAGGAAAAAACCAGTCTGAGCCGTTTGTCACAGAAAAAAGATTCATTTAAAAATAAAGTTGTATCCCTCATCACCAACTGTGAGAACAAGCTCAACGTCGCTGCTGCGTTGTTCCTTCCAGCCGAGTGTCACCAGATTTTGGACTTTTAGAAACAAACATGTTTAATTTAATGAAAACATTCAACAGAGACGAGGTCCGATGATCCGTGGTGGCCGACTTTTGCTGAAGGAAACTGAGGACCAACGCAAAGCAAATAAGGCTTTTGCTGCATCTGGTAATTCTGGGTAAAAAGCAAAAACCCACTTGGGTCACACGATGCAGTAATCTGATTACTCCTATTACTGTTAATTCAATTTCTGCTTCACATGCAGACCCTGTGTTCCACACGAGCTGCTAAATTTACCACTGAATCTTTGATTTTACTCCAAGTTATATGGAAGAGGATTACGGCCACTGAAAAAAATTCTGACATTAATCTCAGAATTCTGACTGTATTCTTAGAAAACTTAAATTAATTAAAACAATTCTTATTTGGCATTAGTCTCAGAATTTTTACCTTTTGTCTAAAAATTCTAACTTTTTCTCAGGCTCATGACTTTGTTCTGAGAACTCTCACTTTAATCTCAGAATTTTGACTTAATTCTGAGAAATCTGACTTTATTCTCAGAAATCTGTCTCTAATCTTAGAATTTTGACATTTGTCACAGAATTTTGACTCTCTTCCGTTGTTTCCCCCCCCTGAGAATTCTGACTTTAATCTCAGAAATTTGACTTTAATCTCAGAGTTATGACTCCAGTCTGGAAAAAAAAATTGACTCTAATCTTAGAATTATGACTCTAATCTCAGAATTTGGACTCTAATCTTAGAATTCTGACTCTAATCTCAGAATTTGGACTCTAATCTTAGAATTCTGACTCTACTCTAAGATTTTTTACTTTAATCTCAGAGTTATGACTCCAATCTAAAAAAATGACTAGTCTTAGAATTCTGACTCTAATCTCAGAATTTGGACTCTAATCTTAGAATTTTGACATTTATCACAGAATTTTGACCCTCTTCCGTTGTTTTTCCCCCTGAGAACTCTCACTTTAATCTCAGAATTTTGACTTAATTCTGAGAAATCTGACTTTATTCTCAGAAATCTGTCTCTAATCTTAGAATTTTGACATTTGTCACAGAATTTTGACTCTCTTCCGTTGTTTTCCCCCCCCTGAGAATTCTGACTTTAATCTCAGAAATTTGACTTTAATCTCAGAGTTATGACTCCAGTCTGGAAAAAAAAATTGACTCTAATCTTAGAATTATGACTCTAATCTCAGAATTTGGACTCTAATCTTAGAATTCTGACTCTAATCTCAGAATTTGGACTAGAATTCTGACTCTACTCTAAGATTTTTTACTTTAATCTCAGAGTTATGACTCCAATCTAAAAAAATGACTAGTCTTAGAATTCTGACTCTAATCTCAGAATTTGGACTCTAATCTTAGAATTTTGACATTTATCACAGAATTTTGACCCTCTTCCGTTGTTTTTCCCCCTGAGAATTCTGACTTTAATCTCAGAAATTTGACTTTAATCTCAGAATTATGACTCTAATCTCAGAATTTGGGCTCTAATCTTAGAATTATTAGCCTGGCAAGCCAGACTAAATAAATGTATTATTTAGTCTGGCCACGCTCCATTGACGGCTCTCGGTTGTGAGGCGGGTTCTACCGTTGTCTTTCAAATGATCTCCGCATTCCACTGGACAATGAATGTGACATACTCTTGTTTCACTCTGTTGCATCATCCCACCCACCAGGCATATAGAGTGCCCTGATTGGCCCACAAAGCGGATAAAGCTCTGTGATTTGTTCACTAAGCAGATAGAGCACTATGATTGGCCCACCATTATGGACCAATCACAGCTCTTTATGTGTTTGAAACCCCTCTAGAGAGCTGTGATTGGCTAGCCAGAGTCCTGGTAGGAGCTGTGGAGGTTCCAATGGAGCATGCCTAGACCAAACTTTGCAAAGCAAGAATTTGGTCTAGTTCACTAGGCTATAGAATTATGACTCCAATCTCAGAATTTGAATTCTAATCTTATAATTCTGACTCTAATCTCAGATTTTTTACTTTAATCTCAGAGTTGTGACTCCAATCAAAATTTTTTTACTTTAATCTCAGAATTCTGATGTTTTTCTTCAAAAAGCCAGAATTCCATTCAGAAATCTAAAACTTAAGTCAGAATTATTTTTCTTGTCACTGTCCCTTATCCTCTTCCGTACATTTAAGTGAAACAAATGAGTAAAAAGGATCTAGAGATGATATAAAATCCAGCCAGACATGATTCGGAGTCTGGGTTGCACGAAGCAAACTGAAAAGCACAAAAAGGCACATTATGTTCTGTAAAACACTAACTTGGCAGCAGATCACTGACCTGGTTAAGAAACATAAAAACAGACAGACTAGCTGAATGATCTGAGTTGTGCAAATAAAAAAAATCATAAAGCACATAAAGTATTAAGCTAACGCTCCGTTACGACAAAACCAGACATTTATCTGCGGCTGTCAGCTTTAGAGAGACAACAAGAGGAAATGAAGTGTTGTTTTAAAAGTCATTTTTAATAGAAATTAATTAAAATTTAGGGGTTTTAGTCCAAAATATTAAACTCGAAACGAGTATGAAAGATTACATTTTTGGTCTCGTCCCTTCTAAAAGCCAAAAAGCTGCAGACAAACTTCCTTGTCTTAATTAGACACTTTAAAATAATATCTTTGATCTTAAATTACCCTCCATAAATAAGAATGTGGAACAAAAAGGAAAAATACACCCCTGCTTTAAATAAAAAAAGATTTCCAGCAAAAACACAGCGATAAAGATTTGTATACAAAATAAATACAAAAGAAAAAGTCATATAAACAATATACAGTGTCACTAATATCTCTGCTTATCCACTTAGTGCATTTTTACCCCAAAACAACAAATTCTCTTATTTTGTTTGTTTGTTTGCAGGCAAATAAAAAATGTTTTGTTGGCGTGATGAAGGGTTTTCTCTATGATACATCACAACATCCTAGACACTGAACGACCTTTAACCCCGCCCCCTCATCCTGTCACAAATCTCTACTGGCCTTTCACAGAACAGAACAACACGCCGTCATCCAGGAAGTGTCTGAAACCCGGGGGAGGGGGGACTCTAGATATGCATGTTTGCAGACGACACTCGTCTCTCTGTGCAGAAGATGGTTACAGTGTAGACCTGGCTCTTCTGTGTGTGTGTGTGTGTGTGTGGGGTGTGTGTGTGTGTGTGTGTGTGTGTGTGTGAGTGAGTGAGTCCAGTGCCAAACTACCTAAAGAATAGCAGTGTTTGGGGGGGGGGGAGACAGTCACTGAAAGGAGCTCAGCTGCTGTGGTTTTCGGATTCAAGTAAAGTCCTCCTGGACTCACGGCGCCCCCTGCTGGTGAATCTGAGGCATGACGGGACTCAGGTTGGCTGCTTGGGGGGGAATAAATATGAAGAACAAACACAGTTCTGTAAATGTTTCTTTTTCTGTCTGCTGTGCGTCTCACACACTCCTTCACCCAGCTTGGTGCTCTGTCCACCCCCCACCTTTAAGCTCCGCCCACTCGCCTCTGGCTGCTATAGGCAGTTTTTACAGAGCGCCACCTGGCCCTTCATGTAGTCGCGGCAGGGGCAGATGCGCCGCAGCGACTGGTGCGCCCCCGCGCAGCTGAACAGCAGCAGGTCCGACTGGAAGACGCAGTGGTGGCGGGTCTCGCTGTACGCCGGGACCACTGTGTCGGCGCTGGACTCCACCGTCTGACAGTTCACACCAAACCTGGCGCGCACGCACACACGCACACACACACACACACACACACACACACACACAAACACACACACACACACAGATTCAGCTTTATGCTTCAAAAGTAGAAGTAGAAAAAGAATACTACCTCTGGTGGGCGTAAGAGCCTGTGTGTGTGTGTGTGTGTGTGTGTGTGTGTGTGTGTGTGTGTGTGTGTGTGTGTGTGTGTGTGTGTGTGTGTGAGTGTGTCTCACCTGGCCAGATCCGTGTCCTTGTTCAGGTGCTGGAAGAAGGACGGCTCACAGATGAGCTGTGCCTCCTGACACACCTGCTTACAAGACTGACCCGGCTCGGCCTGCTTGACCTGCAGGGCGCTAAGGGGGGGCCACATCACCTGTCCGTGACAGAAATCCTGACGACGCAAAAGCACCGCTTAGATCAATCCGCACATGAAAGTTGGCTAAGGCTGGGGTGGAAGGTCAGTACCTGGTTCTCGATGAAGGCGTTGACCCTCTGCAGCATCCCCTCACAGGTGAACTCGTAGGGCAGGTAGGGCTCAATCTGACCACAGAGACATGCCACGTTAAGGCTAGCTAGCTTAGAGGTCATGGTGAAACGTTAGCTCGCTGTTAGCTACGTTTCCAGCTTTCTCCTGCAGACGAGAGCCTGCAGAAGGGCTCTAGTCTACAGGAGAGACCTGGAAATAAAGATGACAAACAACCACGGCCTCGATTGTTGCAGAGGCTCTCAGCGTGACTTTGTTTGCTGGAGTAAAGATATGAGGCTCCACAGGCTTGTCCAGCAAACAGCGCTATAGTCACGGTTCGCTCAACAGAACACAACAGTACACCCAACCCCGAGTCCAGGCGGTGCATATCCATGACTCACACTGAGTCAGCATATCACCGTGGAGACGAAGTTGTAAGTTACCTTCTGGCTGAGGATGGAGCGGATGGCTCGCTCCACCTCAGCAGAGTTTTCGATATCCACCGTCCACACGTGCGGCTGGCCGATGTACACCTCGGCGTAGGGATGCTGGGAGGTCAACTGCAGACAGAACGGCTCTATCAAGTCACAAAGCAGCAAAACGACCCGGTCCGGGTGCGAGACAGATTCACGACTCACCTCTCTGAGAGTGGGCTTGCCTTTGAAGAAGTCCGTGTTCTTGCTGCTCTTCGGAGGGGTGAATTTAGGATTGAGGAAGGCGCAGCCGTTGGCGATGGCCTCTAGGGGAGCAGGGCCCTCGTAGGGGAAGGACAGACCCACGAACAACTGCAGAGACGACAATCATCAGGGAGCGGATCAGACGGGACCAGGGAGTCTCCAAAAGGACTTAAATATTATCGACATAATAAAGATATTTATGAACAAAATGAAACCAGTGAAATAAATATTTGACATTTTCTTGCAACTAAACTAATCAGAGCTTTGTCTTCTTTTCACCTTTTAAAGAAAATTCTGAGTCTTGATGCCCGGCTGGCCCAGCGTTTTCACTGTTGGCTGCTTTTGCAAAAGCAGGTGAATCCAAATCAGCAGAAACTTATTTTGATTCATTAAAACTGAAGTGATTTATTCTGACAGGACGAGCTCCAGCGCTGAGCTGGGATGGGACAGAGGGGCGGGAAAGGTCAGCGGTCGCGGTGTTGAAACAAAACTCCAGCAGGATCAGCAGAAAATATGGTCGAGGCAGCACATTTTATCTAAGAAACAAGGGGAGGGCAAGAAGAATCAATCCCAGCGATTCCTCCTACAGATCAGGAGTCCGTCAAAGAGGGAGGTGTTCTGCAGACGGAGACGCTCTGTACCTTTAGTGGTCTCAGAGTCCTCGTCAGCTCCGGTGTTTCTCATAAATGCTCAATTTGAAGAACTAGTTTGACTTTATTGTGGATTTTCTCACATCTTCTGCAGAAATAGTTTTAGATATTTAAGCTCAGTCACAAGAAAGATGAAGCTTTAAAACTCAACGGTAAAGCACGGTAGTGGCAGCATCATGATGTGGGTCTGGTGAAACAATGGAGGAGGACTACCTCCAAAGTCCTATGAAATCATCAGCTAGACGGGTGAAACCTGGACCTCCTACGTGTTCGTTTGGCTTCTAACCCTAAGCCACGTCAGAACTGGTTTCTGACACCAACCTCAAACTCAAAACCTCAATGAAACCTCCCCTTTCAGCCAAGATGAGGAGCCATATGTCTAAAAATGCACCCGATGGTGTTTGGTCAAGGCGCAACTTCCTGTAGAACGCTGACCCAGATATCAGAAGGGGGTTCATGCAAATATTATGGGCTGTATGTATAAAACTGAGTCTGTGTGGAGAAAACCTACAGTAGGTTCAAACTGAGGATGTATGTAAGGATTAACTCGACAGTCAGGTATCTTAAGTGTTCACATGATGGACATCAGTCCCGTTTATGCTCCATGTCAATGGTAACTTCTACCACCAGGTGGCAGCAAAGCACACATATTCACCCCTCTGCTCCTCTGCGGAGGAGATGTGTGTGTAGAGGAGGGGAGGAGGTGATGGAGAGCAGCCAGCATCTCTAATCTCAGTGATACGGAGTAAAAAGAAAAGGAAAACAGGAGTCAGCGGGGACCATAGCTCTGACCCAGATTCTTCTTATTAGCTCACATTAGAACGCTCCAGCTGACGAGTCCGCATCGAGGCGGAGAGATCCTCCTCCTGCATCCTGGAATGTTCCACATCAAAGCTTCTATTGATTGCTTCTCTTCAAGAAGCATTCCCGAGAGCCGAGCCGAGCGCCAGACACCTCAACAAATCTATTAGCATCTAGCCTAGCTGCGACTAGCCACTTCCCAACCTGATTCCACCTGTGTAGGAGTTGAGGAGCTGCTGACCTCTTTCAACTCTACCTGCTCAACTGTTTTAAAGGCAGTCGCTCCTCTAAAATCCAGGCATAAAAAAAACTGTAGCAGACCCTTGGCTCAATGAGGAGACTCGTGCCCTAAGACGCCAATGTAGGGTCTGTGAACGCCGGTGGCGGAAGGACAAGCTGCAAATCTCCTACCAGTTATTCAAGGATTCTTTGACCCGCTATCAGAAAGCTGTCCGCACAGCTAGAAACAGATATTTTGCAAATATGGTCACTAGGCATAAAAACGACCAGAAGAAACTGTACAGTGTCCTCACCTCTACTATCCCTTAGAGAATCTCCCAACTCTTCTCCCTCTACAGGGGCTCTTTGCAATGAGTTTCAAAACTTTTTCCAGCATAAAATCCAGGAAATTAGAACCGGTTTCTCTTACTCAGGCTGGGTTACCTGTGTGGAACCTCACTGTCCACCCTCATTCTCTTGCTTTGCTCATGTGACACTACACTCTCTTCCCTGGTTGATCTAATCTTGGCTATGAAGCCCTCAGGCTCTCCAGAGGACAGCCTTCCTCCGAGACTGCTGCGCGATGTCCTTCCAGCGGTGGCCCCAGCTGTTTTGGATATTGTCAATTCCAGCTTCTCCTCTGGTGTGTTTCCAGCTGCTTTTAAAAATGCAGTTGTTCAGCCGCTATTGAAGAAACCAGGCCTTGACCAGTCTGACTGTGCCAATTATCGCCCAATCTCAAAACTTCCATTCATCTCAAAGGTAGTTGAGAAACTGGCTCTCACACAGCTTACTTCTCACCTAGATGACAATGGGCTTCTTGACCCATTCCAGCCAGGCTTTAGACGTAATTACAGCACAGAATCTGCACACATTAGGGTGCTCAATGACATCTTGATTCTGACTGACTCTGGCTCTTACTCGACCTGACTGCAGCATTCGACACTGTAGACCTCACCATCCTACTTCACAGACTCGAATTTTGGGTGGGTGTGACCGGTACTGCCCTCGAATGGTTTAAGTCGTACCTTAATGGTCGGTGTTTTAGTGTTCATGTTGGAGACTGCTCTTCTCCCAATGTCCCACTTCCATGGGGAGTACCACAGGGCTCCATCCTGGGTCCTCTCCTCTTTTCAATTTACATTCTACCACTTGGTAAGATTTTAGCAAGTCTCGGGGTTAACTACCACTTTTATGCAGATGATTGCCAGATCTACCTTCAAATCAACCAACAGCACTCATTTTCTATAATGTCAGAATGCCTCTCCCAGGTCAGATCCTGGCTTTCTCAAAACTGCCTACGGTTAAATGACAGCAAATCAGATGCCATACTTTTTAGCCCCACTAGCATGAATGGTGCTTTAGATGTCTCAACTCTCCCACTCAATCTCAAATCAGGTGCCACTAGCCTAGGTGTGAAACTGGACTCTGACCTTTCATTGTCTTCACAAGTCAACGCTACTGTCAAGTCCTGCTTTTTCCAACTCCGCCGCATCACTCGTCTTAAGTCAATCCTCAAACGCCCGGATCTTGAGTCAGTCATTCATGCTTTCATTACTTGACGTCTGGATTACGCAAATTCTGTCCTGATTGGGATTAATGCTTCAGCCTTAAACAGACTGCAGAAGGTTCAAAATGCCACGGCCAGATTTTTAACCAACACCGACAGACGCATGCACATCACACCCATCCTCGCAGATTTACACTGGCTCCCAGTCAAATTTAGGATTAACTTCAAGGTCTTGTTATATGTTTACAAGGCTTTGTACTGCCCATCCCCATCCTATCTGACGGACCTGCTGACCCCGTATGTTCCCACCCGTGCCCTTCGGTCAGCAGATCATCTGTTGCTTGTTGTTCCGCAGGTTCGGTACAAATCACGGGGGGCCGTGCCTTCTCTTATGCAGCCCCAAAACTCTGGAATTATCTGCCCCTCCGTGTGCGTCTGGCTCCCTCTGTTAGCAGTTTCAAGTCGGCCCTGAAAACGAACTTCTTTAGTATTGCCTTCCCTCCGTGACACTCTTCATGACAATCTAGCACCAAATTAGAGTTTTTAATTCCATTTGTATGATTTAGTTGCTCACTTTTGGCACCTCGCACCGTCTGGTATTTTATTTCGTTTTATTTGTGCCATTTCAAATGTTTTTATCATTTGTCGCATTATTTTATTTTATAGTGCTGTTAACTGTTCTCCTATTTTATTGTTTTTAGTAGGAATTTTTATCTCCAATTATTTATGCTTTGTTCTTATGTATTTTGCCTGTTCTTATTGTGTTTCTTGGTCAAGCATTTGGCTTTTTATGTACAGCACTTTGGTTAGCTGCCATGCTATTTTGAAATGGTGCTTTATAAATAAATATGGTATGGTATGGTAAAACCATCCGAAAGCTCCTCTCGCTAAAAACAACTGGCACCGACTATTTCATGGACGTTGCTGAAATGTCTCCTTTAAAATGACTCGAAGTGGCACCAACATCCGTCTGAGACTAACACCAGCAGGTCTCCCTTTCAGGCTGAAGTCCAAACAGAATTTTTTTATCACTTCTTCCCTAAATTTGGAACAATAATCAAAATGTGTTGTTTGTGTGTCGAGAAAGGCTGCTCATCGATCACGATGACTTTAATCAGAGTTTGTCCTGTTAAAGCTGCCTTTTACCGAGCTTCCCCCGCGGGGTTACTTCACAGACGGAGTAAAAGTTTGGCAGACATGTTTGTTCTACACTTTTGCCGCTGTGCGCATGCACATCGTGAAGAAAAGGGCGAGGGAGACATGGGGTCTCCAACGGCTACAACATATCAGCGACAGCTGATCGATTCTAAAAGACGTCGATCAGAAATTTCCGATCACCTGTTTTTTTTTTTTTTTACGTAGAACGGCCGATTTTGATGGTTTTTCATCTTTCATCAGCTGTCATTTTTCTGAAAACGCGTATTTGTTTGTGATCGAACATCAATCAGACCTAATCAGAGATCGGCCGTTCGTAAACTCACAAATCTGTCGGCTTTCCTGCCCCTTCAACTCAATCCCTAATTTACGCTAGCAACAACGGCTGTTCCATGTGAAAGTTTTAGAGTTTTAACGTTCAAATTAATTAGATCATTGTGAAAACTGTGATGTGGTACTAACGGCTCTTTGGAATAAATTGGTATCAACCCACATTGCTGTTCAGAGCTGTGCAGAAACTGAGAGCGTATATGAGAATAATCTCATGGTGATGAACCCAATCCAGTCATCATAATAGTCATTTTCTTACCTTAAAGTGACATTGTGTAGCTTTTACCACTAATCTCTGGAAATATCCATTGAAATATTGTAAATAAACTAAAAGATGCCCAGTTGCTGAGAAATATTGGCAGTTTTATAACCTTAAACCATAAAAATCGGGTCTAAAATACACGGGAGCGGGTCTAAGTCTCTGGACGACGCCGTATTGGATGCCATGTTTCTTTCTCCGGAAGCTCGTGAGGACAGAATGTATGTACTGATTTGTAACAAATGCTTGCAAAACTTTCATCATTAATAAATGTTGTTTTACATATTTACCTCTTCACTCCCAGGGATTTTTGACCCTAATGGCCATCCGTTGGTAAGGTCTTACTGGAACACAAAAATAATGCTTGCTTGCAGTGGTTTAGGTACGTACTGCCCCCCATCGCCAGGGAAACTACACACTGTCACTTTAAAGAGAGAGCAACTCAAAGCTCATTCTAATAAAACTCTTATTCTTTAGAAGAGGCGCAGCTATCTGCGAACCTCGTTAGAGCCGCCTATCGCCTCAGAGGAAGCTTGTCAGTTATCGTTTACAGAACCGGGAGCGCTGACCCGACTCAACCACGCTGGTGTGTAGGTGGAAAACCACAGAAGAAGAAATAAGACGATAAAACCGTTCTGCAGAAATGGGAGATAATTCAGCCTTATTATCGTCGGCTCAGATGTAAATTACACTTAACCGCCAGGCTGTTGTCATGGCGACGACTAACGTATGTGCTGTGTGTTCGTTCTGTAGACCAGAGTTTGAGGAGTCGTGGAGCGAATCACAGACAATTACCGACATTTCACCCGGCGCTCCACGGAACATCAGCGATCATCTCAGGAACATTTGGTGGAAAAAGACAAAACATTAAAAGGAGGAGTGTTTTGTTTTTCTTTTCTCGACTTGTTAAACCCCACGAGTCCTTTTATCTCCAGCTGAGGGTTTTCAGGTAGCGGCGAAAGTGTTGTTTAGATGAACGCCATCCTAATGTTTACGTCATCTTCACCTCACCGGGGTCAGATCACCTCTGGTCCCGGAGCGCCTCAGACTCATCACCGTCTCACTTGTAGGAGCTGGGCTCAGAACCGAAGCTCTTTTCCCGCCGAAGCAAAGCCGGAGATCTGCTCAAGAGTAAAGCTCTTTAAGCTTCGATACAAGCCCTCCTGTCCTCGCCGTGGGGACGTCTTTCTGTACGAGTCCAACGGTAATCAAAACCTCCCTGCACACGTCTCTCCTGTAGAGGACCGCCAGCTCGTCCTCTGAAGAGCTCACCCGCCTAATTCCCGCCTCACCTTGGTCTCCCGCAGCAGGAACTGCAGGTCTCGGCCGCTCAGGATGCCGTGGTTCTTGATGTAGCTGGGCAGGTGGACGGTGCTGGTGCCGTGCACGGTGCCGTGCACCTCCATGTAGCTGTGGATGAGGTCCAGGTACTTCTTCTTGTCCTGAGATGGACACACAAGGACAGGAAAATTTAGTTTAGCAGCTGCTGCCACATTGAGGACTTTCTAAAGCTGTTTAGAGAACAGGACTGGTTTACCCTCCTCAGCTAATTCAGGATTACTTCGTTTTTTTGCACGTTTAATGTTTCAGATCTGACTTCTTAAAGGGACTTTACGGAATTTTAAATTTTTATGCTCGCGATTGCCCCCTCAGGCCAAAAGCGTAACGGCAGCTTCAATAGTAGGCTCGTGCATGAGGCGCGCATGCTGTACGTGCACACTCCTTAACGAAAATAACGGCTGAGACAGTCGTGCATGTGTGTGTGTGTGTGTGTGTGGCCCGGAGGACAGAGGACAGGAGAACACGCAGCTAATTAATTAAATAATTTGGTTCTGTACCTTTCTCTTCAGCACAGCCGACAAAGGTTTATGATGGGTCAGTCCTCCTGCATGCTCAGATCATTCCCTTCCCTTGCTTGAAAAATTGTTCCAAAGTGAAAGTTGAACCCACATCTTTTTTATCTGTGAATTCAATGCCGTTCGGCGAGTCTCAAATAAAAATTTGGGCATCTTACTGTAAAAACATATACCATTAATGTAAAAAAGAAACTCTAAATAAAAAATGTTCACATCCAGAATCGAACCCAGGTCTTCTGCATGAGAGTCCGACGCTTTACTAGGTGAGCTAAAGCGCCAGTGATGTCTTTAGTATCTGTAACATTTATATCCTTGATGACAGCTGACACAACGTTCAAAGAACGGTTCAGAGCAAAAATGGCTATTTTGTTGCTAATTTGCAGGAAATATCTAGAAGAAAGTTCTACAGAAAGTAGCTAAGGGTCCTCAGAAATGTAGCTAGCTTTGTCACTAGGCGTTAGGAACAGCGACAAAGACTAAATCTACGGATAGCAAATGCTACGGGCGATGCCTGAGCGTGAACGCGCCTGCTCGACACGAGCAGCTCTTCTTCTGTGATTTTACAGAAAAACAGGCAATCACAGTAAAAATGCCAGGGCTCATTCTACAGGACCAGGGCATTGCAGGAGAATGTATGAAGAAGACATTTATTATTTCTATACATGTTTTGGCTGTCAAACTTCCATAATGCTCCTTTAATAATGTCTATAAGGGATTTTCAGCAGCTTTGAAGTTCGTTTCTGTGTAAAAGTTATGAATAATTACTAAGTTACATGAATGGCCTTAGTTCAGAGAAACAGTTCTACAGACTGACTGTTTCCTTTATTATTTGTTATTCTCTGTGATTTATCATACAGATACTCTGTAAATGTATAATGTTACATTTGAAATATCGTGCAGACTAAAACGGAGTTTCCAAGACTTCTTATCGTTTTTAGAACAGGTCTGAAATTTACACACGAGCCCTGAGCACGAGCTCGCCTCAGAAGCTCTCCCTCTCCAGAGAGAGTCGACCTCAGCGCTTCTTTTAGGAGCTCTGATTTCAGGTAGCCGCTCGTCTGCGTCCCTGGAGGTTTGACTATCAGATGCCTCCAGCCGGCCTGCTGTAACTAAAGCAGCCTGGTGTGTGTGTGTGTGAGAAAGCCCTAATTAGAGGGTGAAACCAGCATCCTTTTTGCCTGCTGAAGCCCAGCAGGGATTTGTGTGTGTGATGGTAACAGTAAACAGATAAAGTTTACAGTGAACGTCTGAAGAGGAAGCAGATGCGACTGTTTTCTCCCGTTAGCTGCTGCCGTTTTACATTTTTGCTGTTTAATTTCTTTGTGTGTGTTTTTTTCTAGATTTCATTTACTCTGCAGAGCTTTGGTCAGCCGTCGTGATGCTTCTGGATGTGCTTAACTAAAGACTTACGGTACGGTGTGAACGAATATCCATCATCAATGTGACGCTTGAGTATACGGCATGGTTGGGTCGATGTTCATGTGGCAAACACACAACTGAAAGGGCATGTGTGTGTGTGTGTGTGTGCTTCATAGTGACCGCTCTGATGACCCTGATGTGCAGAGGAACATACAGCGGATTGCTTTGAGCCTTCAGGGCTACAGGCAAACAAAGCTCCAGATGCTTTCTGAATCACTGCTGGGTAGCAGCTCTCTCTCCCCCTCACTCTATCTCTCTCTCTCTCTCTCTCACACACACACTAGAGACAAAAACAAACACGTATGTTGACTGCATGGAACCAGGCAACAGATCGATGGGAGCAGCTCTGCACAGGAGTACGGAGGATTTATAAAACGACCGCTTTAGCTGGCGAGGTTGATTGAAGCGGCGAACATGGAGGAGGAGAGTTTTACGGCCGTGTAAATCAGAGGGAATTTGCGAACACTGGCCGGGAGAGGAAAGGGGAGAGGCGGCGGCTGCTTTCAGTCAGCAAAGAGGACGGATGAGAGAAGAGTGTCCTGGGAAGATGCACACCCTCAGAGTCACAGAGCAAAAACAAGATCCGGATACAATCCCAGTCACGCGAACCCGAAACGTCACTTCCTCTTTTAACCCTCCCACTGCCCTAATGGGTGTGACCCCGCGAGGAAAGTTGACCATTGAGCAGGGTTGATGGTTTATCCCTTGAGGTCCACGTGGCAGGGGTGAGGAGTGAGCACCACCTCACCCCTGCCACGTGGACCTCAAGGGATAAACCATCAACCCTGCTCAATGGTCAACTTTCCTCGCGGGGTCACCCATAAAGACAGTAGGAGGGTTAAAAGATTTTCTGAATACATGAAGTTAATGAGCTTGTCTAATTAGCGGTTCGTGTTACCAGGTTGTTGAGTAGACGTACTAGCCTAGAAAACTAGACCAACCGCAGCAGCAGCAACAGACTGCTCAGCAGGTCGTTCTAGCCACGCTCCATAGCAGCCTCAGCACGTCTACCATTGGCCTGAATAATTTCAGTTTGGGCCAATCACAGCGCTCTCTAGCTGTGTTTACGCTACGGCCAGCTTGGTCTGGCCTTGGTAGTCGGCCTAGCTTCCCTACGGTCCGTTTCGTGCTTAGTCGACTGGCTTAAGTTTTGTCACTCTCAGGCCTTCCTCCTAGTAAAAGCCTCTGATTGGTGCAGGTAGAGTCAGCCAGTGGTGGCTTCCCACACACGTGATATACAGAGAACCTGGGTGCAGTGGGGTAGAAAAACAGGTAAGATAAAAAAATAAAGGACAAAAATAAGATAAAACAGTTAGACCTAAAGACACTTTTCACATTTACAATATGTACAATCAACCAAAACAGACTTAAAACAGTCTAACCCCCAAATTCCACTACCTCCGCTCCGCTCCGGTCCGCCCCCGCCTTCCGCAGCCGCTCGCTTCCGAACTCAATTTTTACTGGTACCCGCTCTACAACGGCTCCGCTCTGGTGCGGAGACCTGAGGTGGGCAAACAGGCATGCGCGGGATTTTCGAGATCTTGCGATACAGTCCGAGCAATAAACGCGGAAGTTAGATCCAAACACCCGTTGTGTGGGAGAAGCATCGACATGAACTGTTTAATCTGCCCATCATTTGTGTTGAGAGATCAGCAGTGTTTGGATCAACAACGTGACTACTTTGATAGTAGAAACTGTATTTATGGCTTACTTTTGTGCATTTAAACTTCAGCCGCCATTGATAGTTGTTAAAAGTTGTTAAACCTGTTCATATGAAACAAAAAACGCCTGTTGTTTATTGATTTATTGTGAAAAACGGAAGTTGTGCTTGCTCCTTTTCCTGTTCGGTTGTGATTTCTGTCCATTTACTGCGGAGGTGCTCCGGCGTCCGACGAAAATAGGATCGATTCTATTTTTGCCGGACGCCGGAACAGAGGGCGGCACACGGCGCCGCACTGCAGGAGCACGGCCGCAGTAGTGGAATTGCTCTGATTGACTACAACGGGACAGATTTTGCTCCGGCGTTCGTGTCGGAGCGGAGCGGAGGTAGTGGAATTTGGGGGTAAGTAATCAGAAGCAGGAACATTGATTAGAAACTATTGATTGCAATGAATTATTAAAGCTAGATAGTGGAATGTAGGCAGTGAGCTTCAGTGGTTTCTGCAGCTCATTCCAGTCATTGGAAGCAGCAAACTGGAATGAGGAGTGGCCAAAGGAGGTGCGAGCTTTGGGAATAACCACAGAGATCAAGTTACTGGAACGTAAATTGCACTGGCTGTTGGAAGTGATGAGTAATGAACAAAGATAAGACTGTGTTCTACCGATGATTGTTTTGTATATAAACTCATACCAATGTAACAACCAGCGGGAATGGAATGATGGCCACTTAACGAGTGAATACAGATCACAATGATGAGTAGTGAAAAGGGCACCAGTGATGAAACGGATTGCTGAGTGATGAATGGCATCGAGTTTATGAAGAATTTTTAGGAAGCAGTCGTATAAAAGATGTCACCGTAATCTAAGATGAGAAGGACTGTCATTTAGACCAAGGTTTGTTTTGCAGAATGAGTAAAGAATGACCTGTTGTGGTATAGAAACCCAATTATTGGCTTGACTTTAGAAAGTAATGAATTAATGTGAACAACAAATGAAAGTGTGCTGTCAAGCCAGATACCCAGATACTGACAAGAACTGACAAGTTGTAGTTCTGTACCATCCAGATAGGGATGGGCAATAAATCGAAAATTTATCGTTATGAAACCAAGATAATTTTTCCCATGTCAATATATTTGATAATAAAAAAATGAAAATATGTGGTATGTAGGTTGGCAACACTCATGTCCCTTTAAGAAGCTGTATCACCTTGAGTCACAAAAGGTGGTACACGTGACAGCCCCATCTAGTGGACAGTTTTTGTTTATACGCATACCTGTAGTTATCGTCCATTTATCGAGGTGAAATCCTCAATATATCGTGATTTTTATTTTAGGCCACATCGCCCAGCCCTACATTCAGAGAAACAATACTAGAGTGGAAAGTTGATTGCGGTAAGTTACGGTTGAAGATACTTAAGTCCTTTGCGACAAAAATGGACGGTGTATGGTGGACTGCCCTGTAGGAATGAGCACCTCACGTTGTTGGTTTTCTCTGATTGGTCCTAGCTG